GGATGAATTGGTACTTAGTAACTATTAAGATGAAGACTGCAGATGGTAACTATATCTGATGGAAAGCATCTGGCATGGCAATGTATTCAGTAGTTACCTGGAGTCTTATCATGCACTGTTCATTGCCCAGCTTCTGAGAATGAAACATAATATTATGGTTTTGTATAAATTTAAGACCCCTATTTGGAGTTATCAACATGGTGAGTTAATGTATCTAAGGACACAGAATTAAATTATTGATACAAGTCTAATAATTTTAAACTCAGTGTTTTAGAGGTTTGTCTAACAGAAAGGAGAAATAGTCTTACATGCAAAATTATTCCTCTTCACGTAGCATCTCCTGGTGGCTTTGGGGAAAACTGATGAATGAAAAGGAAAGGAACATAAACATAGATTCTTAATGTATAAGAGTGGCCAATATGGATGTGTTGTTGATCTGATATAAAATCTTTCTTAAGATGTAGGGTCTAGGAATGCAGTGCTATTAATTGAAGGGTGGTTAATGGCAATAATGATGCCAGCAACCTGCAATTAGCAGCCCTTTCCTAACTTCTCCGGACTTTATTTTCTTACTGAATTATTACTGCATACTTTAAACTAGGTGCAGCTGCCATTCTGACAGGCCTTTTCTCATCTCTTGTTATCTAGGATGAAATTCAAAGGCTGATACTGAACTTGCTATATTGGTGTTATTGTTTTTAAACCTCTACTTAAATTGAGCATAATGTCTTCTCTTGAGTGATGTGGGCATGACTCAATGCCCTGTATTTTCTTTACAGGTGATACTTTATGATTTTTTTGCGATTTTCAATTAGTTAGATGTTAGATAAATGGGAATATCAAATCCTTTTCTTTGTTGCAGTTCTTTTCCCTCACATTACCTGCCTGTTCCCTGTGTTTTCTAACATATTTTAACAAGTGATCAAGTTTTTTCAGTACCATACTCCAGAGTCTTTATGGTATCCTGTGTTTTTAGGGCTTCTAAAAAGACAAATTATTTTTAGATGTTTTAAGGTTTCATAATAATCTTTTGATTTTATTTCATGTTGTCCTGGGTTGAATGGAGTGTCTGTGCAGTGGTTCTATGTTTGTACAGGTGTTCTAGAGAGGTGAAATGGAGCAGGCAGGACTACATTTTCACAACCATTAAATGGTTTTGAGTGTCTTTTCCCGTTCTGAATTCTTCTTCCTTAAGGTTAACTGTGTTTAAGCATTCTAGAATTTAGGTAATCTAAATCAATATTTATTGTTGAAAATAGGAGACAAAGCATTGAACTTTCTGGTCCAGGTCTTTGTCAAACGATTGGTAGAATAGTGAGTCCTGATGCCTGTACACCACTTCTCATCATGTCTTCCATTTTGTCATTAGGTTCAGGAAATATATGTTTCACAAAATATGCTGCTTCTCACTTAATCTACCTGAATGTTCCTGTCCTCAAGTAATTAAAATAATGAACAGAGTAACAGAGTGGATAAATATACCTTACTTGTAATACTGAACTTGTAAATAATGAAACAATTATTGTCACTGTCAGGTTATTATTCTAAGCACCTTTTCCAGGTTTTGGTATTGGTTACTTAATGCTATGAGGTGAAGAAATAGCAGTGGAACAGACCATACACTTGATAACAGGTCTGATTTGTACTCAGTGTAAATAAAAGAAGTCTTTAAACCTCCTCATTTCTGCATAATGACGTAGTGACTTAGGACAAACTTTTCTTAATACTCAACTGTCAATTAAGTAAGATAAGAAGCTAGCCATGTAGATGGAAAAATATAAAATATCCAAGCTGAACAAAAACATTACATAGCAGCAACTAATCTGCATAATAATTATAGCTGCAATAGTGGCAAGAGCTAGGCTGATCGTGAGAGTCTGCTCCAAATGATACTTGGCAGGGGATAATTGTTTTATTTACATTCTACTTAAGAAATAATATGGGTGGGAGATTTTAGTAGAGGTGGAGTAAGTGGCATAAATATAGAAATACAGCCATTCAAATGTATTACAGACTTTAATACCTTTAGAGAATCAAATAGTGAATAGGTCTGTCAATGACTTACTGTTTTATTCTACTGGCAACCAAAAGTCAATATAGCAAAAAGAACTTAGGCTATGAAAACCTTTTCAAAATGTAAAAACTACCTTTCTCCTTCAATTAAGTAAATTGCCTACTATTTTATTGAGTGTTAGGAGATTTTTAATTATTTTTATAATTTTATGAGTAAATGCATCTATTGACAAAAAGGTTGGGAGTAAGGAAGGAACACATACATAATAACAGAGTTTTGCAACCTTAATATTTCTGAGTTCACTAACATAGAATATACTTTTTCGTTCAGCTCTTTTTGTTCACTGATCTGTATTTCTGTGACTTTCTGTGTCAAAACCTGTAGTTATGAAGGTTTTTAGCAAGGTATGAATCCCTGTGATGTTAAACAGAGGATACTAGGTGGAAAAATCAAGAAAGACAGTGGTTTCATCCTCACTCTGCCAACGACTTCTCTAGTAACTGAGTTAGGCACTTAATTACCACCTCAGTTTCTTATCTGAGAGGAAGAGATAATTAAAACTCCTTTACTATGAAAATCACATTAATTCACTCACTATAAACTTGTACAGATTATGAAAGCTTGCTGTGCAATGCAGAGGAGGGCCATGCAGCAAAATCTGGTGTGTGAAGTCTACATTCCGAAAGACAAGCTCTAGCAGTTACAAAAGGCAGAGAAACTGGTGGGAAGAGAGAAATAAATGAAATGTGTAGTTTTTTAACCAGTCAGTAGCTGTCACAACACTGGGGGGCTCCCTGTGGGCCAGGATCCTGCTCCAGCTCCCTGGCTGGGGTGGTGGGACAAGAGCCCTGGCTGCCAGGAGCCTTCTGGGTGCCAGCCTGGGATCTTAGCCTGTGGATCAGGCTAGGCAAGGTGAACTGGCTGTGGGTTGGCCAGGCTGTGGGATCTGGCTCACTAAGGCTGGATAGGACAGGGCTGTGGGAGCAGGTGGCCCTGGACAGGGCTGAAATGGTATCCTGAGCCACAGAGGGGTCAGGGAGACTCTGGGGGAGAGTGACCAGAACCTTGGAGATGTGTCTAGCTTCAATGATCTATTTTATTACAATGTCTGCTATATTGAACCTAGTTTTCTCTTTCTTGAATTATAATCAAAACCCTGATGGTGGTCAAGGCATTTCTTTGGGACTGATCTATACAGCTTGGTGATGTTATGGGTCACAAATTGCCTCCAGCCAGGTGTTACTCTGCTGGAAATGCCTCATGCTGTGCTGTACATCACTGTCCTCTGCAATGAGCTCATTTCTGTAGGTTGTGCTCTGTGCGTGTGCAGTGCAGGATATGTCATTCAATGCTGAGTGCAAAACATCTGATTCACTGTGTCCAAATTTGTCAGTGAATGAGGTCCAGTTATGCAAATACAAAGTACTTTTTATCTTCTATCTGGTTATTTGCTTAGGAAGTGTACTGAATTACTGTTGTAACTCTGAATAATATGTTATTATCAATACAGCCACATCATGCACTGTGCTGTAATTGCTAGTAAGAACACAGAGCCTGCTTTTTGGGAGGGAAACTGTCAGAGAAGAAAGAACCTGATTAGCTAATTAAGTTGTGATGCTGCGATTCTCTAAAAACAACTGTTGGTCTCCATATTACATTTTTAGCATTGCTCTACTGTTCTTTGCTGACAGATTCAATGCAACTGCTTTATTAGTTCAGTACTGTCAGGAAGTGCCTGTACCCTTATGTCCAGCTGTGTCCTCAAGGCCATCTCACAGCTATGTGTTTTGATCATCACAGTGTAGTATTCCTACTGCAGTAATAATAATAATCACATAACCAGCGTCAAGCATCTTTGCTTGTATAATAGATATCCCAAAGGGCATTAATGGCAGTTGATTTCCTGCTTAGTGGCCTACAGACAAGTCATCTATAAACAAGATCTTTCAAGCTGTTGGTCTGTGCAGAGTGCTTGAAGCAGTAGTGTAGGTCTATGTGTGAAGTTCAAGTGCTTGGTACTTCCTTCTGTGGTGAATCGTGCTGCCTCCCCTCTGCTTGCTTAGCATAACTTGTCAAGTCTTCAGGAAGTCATTAGTATTATGCTGTCACCAAAGGCACGCTCGTGGCACAGTCTGATACTTTGCGTGTGGTCTGTTTTAAATGCTATACAAACCAGGCTGGCTTTTCCTGTCATTTCCCTTGATTTTTGTGCAGCACCAGTGACTGTAGCACATAGCAGGCAGTTACAGAGCACGGCACCCTTTCTGCAACATCCATGAGAGACTGATATGAATTCCAGTGTGTGTGACTCATCAGTAAGCTTGGTGCAGCTGAGGCTCCTCTTTAATTTCTAGCTCTCCGTTCTGTGAGAGCCACTTACTGACAGAATAATTCCTGTGATACATTCAACACTTTCATTGAAAAACTGGTTCACTGATAGCATGGCAGCTCCCTGCAGATTCTCTATGGTGTATTTTGTTCCCCTACACTTGATAATTACTGTCTTGTTACATCATGGTTATTAGTGAAGGTTTACTCAGATAATTAATTCTAGTGATATTAAATTAAAGTTGTGCATAAATTATGTTCACACTCAGTATGCATTGTTTTGAACTAATAAATCAAAGGTCTTTCAGTGTATATGTGACAAATTCATTTATAGGTAGCTCTATAATTGCATACAGAGCTCTTGTCACTTGTGCTGCTTATAAGGAAGGAATATATAGCATATTTGATGCCAAGTATATGTTTTTAAGATGTAATGTCAAGGAGAATATTATTATCTAGTGTTAGTCTGGTGCCTTATAGAACACTTCTATTTCTATAATTTCCAAAGAGATACATCCAAGTAGGTTCTTAATTTCATCTATCAGGAATCCAGGGAGACCTATTTTCTGTTTTTCGTAGCATTTCTCAGCCATAACTTTGCTCTGACTTTCCTTGTCAAATCGCTAAACATTAACTAATCCAAATACTTACTTTGCAGGAGGCCCAGAAGATCAATGGTGGTGGAGACACACAGGCAGATGGAGCCTGCAAACCAACAGATGAAAAAGAGGAGAATGTGGCAGCAGAAGTGGGATGGATGACGTCTGTGAAGGATTGGGCAGGAGTCATGATATCTGCCCAGACATTAACTGGCAGAGTACTTGTAAGTTTTCTATGATTTTCTATGTTTTCATTTTAAAGAACATTTTTTTTAAGAAGCACTTAAAAGTGGAGGATTTTTGATTGGTTTGTTTCATCAGCACTGAATCAATCCCAATTTTCTCTTTTGGAAGTAAAAATAGCAGAGTAATTCCCACTGTAAGAGAGAGGCGGAGACAGTAAATAAGAAAAACTGTCTTCCAGACCACTCCCCAGCCTACTTCAGTACTCTGGCACCATGATTTTGAACTGTGCTACAAACAGTGAGTTTAATAATTTCATATTAGGTGATAAAACTTTAGGCCTATTTTGTCTGGAATTAAAATTGTGCTGGGAAAAACAGAAGCCAATTTGGAAAATAAGCACAGTGTTACAAGTGTACATAGTGGTCAGAAGTATAAAGCAAAGACAAGTTTGAATTGGCTATGCAATGAGATTTGTGATATTTTCAATAGACTAGTAGTATGTTCTCTTGATTTTTTTCTTTATTATCTTAGGAAATCCTTCAAACATGTGAACAGTTATGTATCAAATAGAGCCACATATTGATAATATGTGGTTTAAAGATCCACTGAAAAAAAAATCTATAGTTTTCTGCTTTATTTGAATATAATTACATTAGAGCCTTGTTAAATACTAAATTGCCAAGGATTTTCTGTGGAGTTCAGTAGGTGTCTCCTGTGTCATTTTGATTAGTTTCCTTATTAGAATGCATGTACCTATAAACTAACAGCCAAAGTGATTTAAATCCCATTTAAAAGTTCTGAGAATCCCAGGAGACTTTGTAACTAGTTTGGATTAAACTGAAAAAGGATTTGTGTCTTTGTTTATTTTGGTTAAGGGATTTTTTTAGGTGAGTCAGTTTGGCTCTATAGAGTAATTATTTGGATGGGGGAGGGAAGGGAGGAAAAGAAAAGAAATTGCACTCCTCAGTCAAGTCTTTTACAGTAAAAAGTTGAGATGACTCAATTGCCACTGTATTGTTTGTTTCTGCAAGAATATTGTTTTGATTATTTTTCCTAAAAATATCTTCTTCTCATTTGCTTATGTTAATTGCTGACTTTTATCTATAGCTTGAAAGTGTGTTCACTGCAGCTTTGAGCACTATATATCTGCTCTGTGAAACTGGCATATTGACATTTCTTATGAAAAGTGGCATTTTGCATGTTTTCCTGAACTCTTCAGCATTAAAAAAGAAAAATGTTAGTTGTGCTTCTTGTTCTAATTCAAGTATCAAGGGTAGAAATCACCCAAAACCAGAATCCTCTGCTCCTAGCTATGCAGTGAGAAATTGGCCTGTGTTGTTTTTACTGAGCTATATGTGAGCACAAATATAAACCAACAATCAAGACAAAAACCTAGTATAAATGATATAAAATGCATTATACTGTATTTTTTTTTTCAACATACTGGAAGAACTTATTCAATTCTATTTGATGACTTAGTTTACCATTGCATTTTATAACAGACTAGCTGACCAATATCACTGGATTAGGTTCTTTCTGAGAGTATATCTATAGTCAGGTGTAAGCAACAGGTATTGTGCACACCTGGGTTTATGAATATGACTAACTATCTGAGAAATATATAGCAATGTATGGAATATGTTAGTTCATTTTGTTTAGTTTAGAAAACAAGATGCATTTATTTTAATATAACACTCATTAGTTTCATTATTTGAATTGACAAGATTCATGGAGGACCATTTCCAATATGAACATTGGCTGTTCATTTAAATTTTACTTTCTGGATATATTTGCTAAAGGCTAACTGTTTAAAGAACATTTGTGCTAGAGGTAATATTCACATTATTTGTACATATAGGATGTGGCAAAATTATTTGAAAATATTAAGACTTAACTCATTAATTCCTAGTAATTTAATACAGCCTTTTCCTGATAGCTATATTTCTGAATCAAAATGTGGAATTTTTTTTTCCCCTGAAGAAGAACTGGTGATTTCACTGTTCTATGAAATCAAAATCATATGAGATATCTGCAGCTAAAAAAATTATGGTACACTTTTTCGTTGTGCGAGTTTAATTTAAAATCAGTCTTATACATTCAGTGTTTACAAAAGAAAAAGAAGCTTAAAAAGCAGCCCACTGAAGTTGGAATTGGGAAGAGTTATAATTGATCTTCAGTTCAGCATGATCACCTGAAGGCAGTTGTGTAACTGCTGCCTGGTTTTATTTGAGAAATGAAGGAGACAAGTTAGGCCAATCTTGAACACACATCAGTGTGAAGTAGAAGCTTATTTGTGTTTTCTGCTCATGGAAAAAACTTCAATCATTATTCTTACCTGGACAGCCATTTTCTTCACAGTGAATCTTAGTGGAATGTTGAGTGCTGTTTGTGGAATCTAAGCACACTACTTTTTGGACCTCTCTCTCTACTGAAATCTGTCACTGTATCTTTGACACTTTAATTTCTTTCCTAGTAACCTTACAAAACAACTTTCTAATTTATCAGATCAGTTTGCCCAGGTGCTTTGGGAATGTTGAAACAAATACTTGTATGGTGGGTGCTCCTATAGTTACCTCTTTAATACTTAAACTTTTTGGCTACCTACTAGTGAAGAAAATAAAGGCCAACAGTATGGAATATACAGGACAAAAATTTGTGTTTACAGGTCATAGTGTCATAGCGTAGTACAAAATTGGACATTTACATCAACATTTGCACATTTTTTTAGTGAAATCTAATGTTTCTGTTAAGATAATAGATGAAAATCAGTACACAACCTTTAAAATATAGACTGGAAGGCCTCTGTAGCTGTAGAACTAATTGAAACATAACTTTTGTTTGTTTGTTGTAGTAAATTATTTTTTTCTGACAGAATTTAGGAACTCGTGTTTCAGTGCATCTGCTGGAAAGTAAGAAATGTTACTTTTTATTCATGATCTGGGTCATTGGAGACAGTGAAATGATTTAACCCATTCTTGACAAACACTCTGGAATCTTTGATAGAGATGATTCCCCTCCACACTAGTTTTCTTAAAAGCATTTAATTCATTGGTGGTTGTGAAGGAGGGAAGAGTTCTATAACTGAAATGAAAGTTGAAAAAACGCAACCATATTCCTTATCTCATCCTCTCCCATTCCATTGATTAGAGGAAGAATTACATTTAAAGACTAAACAAAGAGAGGAGAAATTTAAACTTGCTCACACCTTGAAATATTTTGCTTTTGCTTTAAATTAAGTTTTCTCTTTCAAATAAAGTGTCTGAAACTCTATGTAAAACTTCTTCGTAAGGGATGTCTGGTCCTGTCAGCAGTGTTTGCTGTGAGTTGTGGAAAAAACACCCCAGGGTTGTAGTTTAATTTTTGGTGGTATTTTTAGTTACACATGATAGAGCTAACTAGGTGAAGCCAAAGGTACAGATATTGTGCAAATCAATCTCGATATGCAGAACTTTTGCACATTCTCTGTGGAAGTGATTCAGAACACTGACAGAATTAACTGTCTCCCTGGCACAAAAGTTTCTCATTCTGGTGCTCTTATGTAAAACTGGATATTGTTTGCATCTACTCTTTCTTAGTTTTTTGGAGCACAGAAGAATTGGTGCTATCAGTTTTGTGTGTTGCTTCACAAAAGTGGTCAATTATGTCTGGTTCTTCAGTGTGAAATGCTTGTATAATATCTTAGTATTCTACTCCCTTACAATGTGACTACTGGAGAGCAGGTTTACTGGAAAGAATAGTTTGTCAAATGTATCTTGTTAATAACTCCACGTGTGTCCTTTGCTCATGGTTCCTCAGAGCGTTTTTTGTTTTAATTCCAACAGACAACCATTAGGAAACAGATTCCTGTACTTTGAGTCTCTAGGAGTAGTTTCCATTTTGTTAAAAAGAGTTTTCTTTTCTTTGTTGTTGTGGTGAGCATCATAAGAAATGATAATGGGAAATTTTAAATAATTAAACCATCAAATTTTCAAAACATTTGACCATTACTTGCTTTATCACTATGTCAACTGAGTGTCTCCTAGTCTATAATTCTGTTAATGACAGCAAGAATAGGCAGAACAGACATAAAAGTGGCAGGTGCATGGGATTTTACTAATATTGCAGTTGATTCAGTAGTTTATGTAAATATTGTAAAGATAGAAGTACTGAAATGGAAATAAACATTCTTACTGCTTTAGGAGTAAATGTCTACTCCTGACATTTCAGAAGTGATTTAGGCACAGAGGAATATTCACACTACTCAATTTCATCTGAAGGGCAGGCTTTGGAGGAACAGATTTATAGAGGGTGATCCAGAACGCCCTTCAATAAGAAACTGGTTTTGTTTTTTGGAGTAGTATAGCTGGCTAGGCACAGTCCCTACAGTTGTGTGGTCAGAATATCCTTTTCTCCTCATACTTTAGGTTTTAAAAGCACAACTGGAATGTAGTGTTCTTGGTGATGCAACCATTGAAAATGTGACTTTTGCTCTTAAGCAACGTAGATGGGAATTTGATGTACGGTTTAAAAATGTGTCCATATTAAACCGCATAAGTACATGATTTAATTGAACCCATGCAGTTTTGTTTGCAGTTGATGTTGAGTGGCATAAATATAAATAATAGTAGAAGGTAGCAGTTTACTTAAGATCTGTTCAGGGAAATATGATTTACTTTGAAGTGCCGTATAATGCTGTAGATGATGGAAGTATTGGATAAAAATTCCTGAGATGGGTTTCTAAAGAAGAATCAGAAACATTCATAATTAATCTGAAGATGCAGGAAATTAAAGGCATTTATGAGCTGATTTAGCTTCCTGAAATGATTTTTTTTTTTAATCATTTGAGTAAGAAGAAAAAGACTTCCTTAATTAGATTGAGTGTTTGATAGACAAAATGAAGTCATATGTATAGTGTTGAAGTTGACACAGTTCAATCTAGGACCCAGTTGAATGTCGACTCTCCTTTAAACTGATAAAGAAAAATTGTTATTTCGATTGCAAACCCAGGAGATAAAATTGTGAAGAAAATTATTGTTTGTTCTATTTTTAACACATGGCC